TATTAATATAATCAATGTTGTGAACTTATACTTGCAAAGTATTGATAATATAATGAAGAGTATCTAATGAGAAACGATCATCTTTATTTGATGTCTCCAAACATTTTGTTGATAATTTGTTTAATGCAACACAAAATCCTTGAATGGTAGTGATCTAAAATAAACAATTCAAATGGTTAAAAAGGTTTATTTTTATAATTATCAAATAATAATAATGTCAGTAATGATATTGATATTGAAGCTTTATTTTTTAACAACTTACTTCAGAAAAACGATTCAATTCATCTACAAAAACCTTATCAACAACAGGATCTGTCTTAATATTTGTATTTGCCATTTCCTCTAATTCAGGATTGGTGAATATTTTCTTTATTATGGAATCTTCAAGATCAATTATGAATGAATGTAGTGGTCTGTTTAAAAAGAATATATTAGGCCTTTGAGGATAATCTTGGTAAGACATAGGCATGTAACTTACAGTTCAGGAGAACTATCATTTTCACTAGCATTAGAGTATAAATCATTTCCTACATAATGTCCTGAACATTCAGATTGGCAAATATGGTTTCTATTACTGTTTTACCATTAAAGTATTTCTAATAAATACAAAAAAAAAAAGATATTTCTTAAGAAAGTGTTCAATAACTATAATTCTTTTTAAATAACTAGAGTGACAACAACACCACCATTCTTATGATAAACACTTACTCTTCACTTTATCGCATCATTATCTTTTCTTCTTTTTTGTTGACAAGGCATTGTGTTAAAAAAAGAATTGTTATTTGATCGACAAACGCGTACACATTAATTGACGATCCGTATATAATGCTTCACCCCCCTTAAACTTAAAGAAATTGATTGGATAATTTATAATATGCTGATCATTATTAAAATTTTATATTGCTTTCAAGACAATAAAATAAATAGATTCTTAAAATATTTTTTATTTGTAATTGGTAATAAATAATTCAGCAAAAACATTAGGGAAAACTCTTGCTATAATTACAATGTAATAAAGTACGCCTATAGTTAGAGACAGCATATCCTATAAAATGAACATATCATTTACTCACTAATTGTGATATATTAAATCATTACATAATTCTTATCTATTGAATATATTAAATAAAATTATAAATTATAAACCAATTAATGAAAGACGTGTTACGTATTACCTATTCTGTATTGGTTTTAATAGGGTAAAATCAATAGTCACAAGGCGTG